CACCAGAGTTTTCACATTACCCCAAAAGTATCTTGGAATTTTTAAAAAACGCTGTGAAACCATTTCATATCATACACATCAGTTTCAGCATACACTGTCTACCACATGTGGTCAGCATTGTGTGTTCTATTTGTGTCATCGAGCCTGCGGTCTATCTTTTGAGAATGTGCTGTCTTTGTATCATGATGATTTTACAAGAAATGATTCTATGGTATCCAATTTTGTGAAAAAATATCAACGTTGTATGAGGCAACAAAGAGCCGCATCTTTTCACCACACAGTTTGTTCTTTACAAATGTTCAAAGACTGTTATAAGTTATAAATAAAGATGAATCTTGAGACAAATAACTTTAGCTTGAATTGTTTTTATTATGGGTTAAAATTAAGCCATCGTGGAGCAAGGGGGGTGAGTTTCTTTCTTTTTTCTCTTCTTGAGGGTGGCGAGGCGTCCACCTCTTCCCACTGGGGGGTTAAAGATGCTCGTCTGTGTTTTCTTCCCTTCTTAAATAGTAAGGGCTGTGTCTCATCATCCTCTCCATCCCTGCGAGGGGCACGGGGTGTCTGCTTTTTCCTTCTTCCCCTCTTTATCGGCAGGGACATCACCTCCTCCTCATCTTCCCGGGGTCCTACCGTTTGAAGTTGCCTATATTGCTCTCGAGCTTGAGGGTTGCTCATCATTGATAAAGGGATGTTGAGTTCTGACAAAGTATTCAAAAAACCTGTCCATCCCTTAGGAGGCTGGGATTTTTTAAGGGAGACGGTCAGACTTTTAAACAAGTCAAGCAGGTGTGAACCTTTCACAACATCTCCGTTATACACAAACTCTCCCCTGGGAGTCCACCCACCTCGGCTCTTGGTTAATTTCTTTATGATGTACTGTGCATTGTTACGATAGCGAGCCGGCAAGTTTTGTACAACCTCCCTTGCTGTTTCATCCAGTTTCTTGTCTTCTTCTTCTTCTTCTTCTTCTTCTCCTCCTTCTACGCGCTGCTTCAGTGCCTCAGAATCTTTAGCTACTGTCAGAGTAATGTGGCGTTCTTCCTTCTCTCCTTGTTTGACCAGAGCTAGGTATCTTTGCAGCAGGGCATTGTATTTCTTAATTTTTTCATAAGCGTTCATACCATCCTCGTTTAGTATTGCCCTCATTTTTTCATCCAAATCATTTTCTACCGTATGTCTCATTATTTCAGCGTTGGATGCAGATGGTACAGAATGATTCAGCCGGTTTAGTTGCTGAGGCGTCACCAAAAACATTTTCTGACTCATGATTTATCTATTAATTAGCCCTCCCAAAATGACAGGAAGGATTGTTGAAAGAAGAGGTAACAGAAAGCCTCCAGACTGTTTTGTCAGAGCCTTATGTTTGGTTTTAAGACTTGTTTTTTTATTAGCCAGCAACCTTATAATTTTCTTTTGTTTTTTGAGTTTGTTATATTGAGCTGAGGTCATAGGAATGTTTCCTTTTAAAAGATTCAAAGAGAGTTCACACAAAGACTGAAGAAAGTCCGATGAGCAATTGTTGAGAATATCTTTACGCTTTTGAGGCGTGGCGTGACATAAAGCCCTCAGTAAAGGCGCATTCCTTTTTAAACGTGCTGACATGTTGGCTCAGGACTTTGATTTGGGAAGATAGACAACGGGCCACTGGTGGGGTAGCACTCCTGATCTTAGTCTGTAAGTTTCTGGGCAACTAGGTGTGAGGTCCAAGATTAAATACCCGTGAGGATCTTTGGTAGCATCTTCAAAACTTTCTAAGAAAAAGGCTTTTCGTCCAGGAAATATTTGTTGAGCTAATATACTCATCTGTAATCTATCTCGAGGGTTTTTAAACAAAACCAAATAGTTACTATTTAAACTAATTGTCCTACTGTGCTTTCCACGGTGAAATACATTTTGAGTCAACATGATGACACTCATTTTTTTGTGGTGCCTGTACTGTGTGAAAATTTTCACAACTTCAGGGTGATCAGAGGCCTGGAAAATGACATCATCCAAAATTATAAGATGATCTTGATCAGGTGGGAATAGAATTTCATCGTCAAAAGAATCAGGCAATCCTTCAACAAATTTGATCTTTTTATTCTTCTGCTGCAGTTCAGTGTACATCGGTTGATAAGAAGTAAAAATCCAAACAATATTACTAGGCATGTTGTCGATGACATGATTACAGGATTCCAACACAGACTTTACAAAATAAGTTTTACCGGACCCGCTTGGCCCCACAATTTGACAGGAGAAAGGTGTTCTTAGTCTAGGGTCAAACTCAATTTCATTGGATGAAAACATTTTTTTCTTCAATAGCCAAAAGGCAGGGTTTGACCTTGGCTCAGTAACCGTCTCTTGTCATACACCACTCTAAACTTTTTCTGGAATGATGAGTTTCTAAGGAAAAACCCCCTTTTATCTCGTACAATATTGTGCTGAGGTGTTTCAATTACACCCCCATCATCAGAGTTTAGCACATAATTCTCCACCAACTGTTTGACACTGTTAAAGTTAACTTGTTCACAACAATCATGCGTTTGAGTGATACCCTTTACACGAAGTACTACTTTGTTGTTACGAGTCTGGTACGCATAACTTTTAGGACCCGCGGCCGCGAATTCTTTTATGCTATCACCATCTAACTCATCAGTCAAATCTCCCATGTAATTACCCAGGTCAAGCCGTCTCTCCCCCTCTTTTGTGACATAGATAATACTGTCTGTATCATAATACAAGACCCTCTCCTGCAGCTGCTCCAAATAACTGTACAACTTTAGACGCCCATAAGCTGTGGTGAAAGCAGCTATAAAGACGTTGTCTACCTTGTTTGGAGGGGCAATACATTGCTCACCATAACTCCACTGCAACAATGCTGTTTTGTCGTTGACAAAGGAAAAGTATTTAACTTTATATTTTCCAGAAAACATAAAGTTAAAAAACTCTTCAGGGTCAGTGATTAGTTTAGTCTGTGTCTGATTCGAGCGTTGTGCAAATTTCCCCCAGAATGTGTTGAGACATAATTTGGAGACTTGTCTTTTTGCAGGATTCGGATGAATTTTAGACGCATCCAGCAAAACACCCTGATTGGTCTGATAGTCTTTGATGTACTTTTCTCGGGCTGCCTGATCTTTGGCTTCAGGGGGGTAACCTGAAGCTTCCTGTTTACCCTTCAGAAAAGTGTGCATGTACTGAACAAAAATCGAGTCGCTCTGTCTATCAAATTGCCATACCTCTGTGATCTCAGCTACCCGATACCCCATCTCCAAGGCCTTGTTAAATTCAGGAGTGACCCAGACCCCTGTCATCGCTCTGTCCTCATCACTGTGTTGACATGGACCCTCCTGAAAATTAAGTTCAGCGCACGTTCGGCAGAGTGTGAAGACAAGTTTACCAGCTGCAGTTCTATAGGCAAAACAGGAAAAAATAAACCCTGTGGTGGACAGATTTTGGCTCTGATTATTCCAAAGTAGCTTTGGGGTTCTTTGAAATCTTTGTAGATTATTTTGGGTGCCCCAAAGGATAGGGAAAGTTACAGTTGACATAGGGATACAGCGATGTCACATCAAAGTAGTCTACCGTTTCATTAGCACCCGCAGTGTGTCTCAACTTTACTGCACAGGTTCGACCCCCATACAAAGCTTCGCGGGGTGAGAGAGGTTGAGGAGCTTTATACTGTTTGAGAAAATCTTTTAACCCCTGATGTGATTTTTTCATCTCGGTCCATGTGTGCTCTCTCATGACAATCACTTTAGCATTGTGGATGGCCTGTAACTCACGTAATTTCTCCTCGCTCCTCGCATGCATCTCCTCAAAAGGGTAGCCGGTCAAAGGATTGGTCTCATGAGCTTTGAAACAACTCGGACAGCCATGGAAAAAACATCCCAGAAACTCCCATACATATTTCACACCTTGGATCTCTGCAAAACCATCTACAAAGTATTTTCCTAGTTGTTTTTCCCCCTCATTTAAAGCATGTTGAATGAAGATGTTTTCGGTGCTAGCCACCCAATGCAGCCACTGTATGCCTGCGTTCGAATACGTTTTGAACTGGCGTGTGTAGTTATTGGGATCGGGGATGGCCAAACTTTTAGGAGGAAGGAAGTTGGTCACAAACACTTTCATGCATGCAGATGCTATAGTCGCGCGGCTAAAAGGGTCAACCGCTGTTTCATCAATATACTGTTTTCTGAACAGCTTGCATCCCTCTGCGAGAATCTCAACATCGTTTTCACAATAGAGGCGGGCCTCTCTCATGAAATCAAATGTACCGCGCGCGCCGTCTCGTACCAGGTGTTAAAGTCTTTCAGCTGTACCGTAGTCATGCGTTCTGTACCGTACATTTTTGGCTCCGGGTAGGGACCTGTGTAGGTCAAATGGGCAGGTGAGCTAAAATTATGGGGAAAATAGCCTTTAATTCTGTCATCAAAACCGAGAGCTTTTGGCATATCGGCTAAACGCATGGAAAGAAAGGACAGTGAGTCAATGTATTTTTGATTAAAATCAGGATCTGTCATACAGATGACTTTTGAACCTTGCAAAATCAAAGAGGGTTTTAATGCTTGTTCAAGCATGGCGTTGAGGAGTAGGTAGGAGTCAAAACCTCGAGCATTGTGAGCAATAAACACAGCATTTTTGTACAGAGGGCGTCTGAAATGCGTGAGAAACTCGTTGGCACAATTTCTGCCTTGAGAGCTCCATGTTTTGCCATCTAACGTTTTTGTACACACCAAAAAGGGTATGTGAACGCCATTTTCATTGACGTATGTTTCAAAATCATAAAACACCAATTTTTCTGTGTGTTTTGTTTCAGGTGGTAGTGTCTGGATGTAGCATTGGTGCATCTCCCTCTTATCTGTAACGTCAGAGGTCAACTTCTCACCACAGATTTTACACTTCACCGCAGGACATGTGTGTGGTTTACCTTCACCACTCATCGCTGAGTAGTAAAGCTGTGCACATTTGTTACATTTTTTGTACAACGAGCACGTGCTGGCTAATTTTTTGGTCTGGGCCTCTCTGTAGGCTCTTTGTGCTTTGTCAGACAGAATTCTGAACGACATGTCCTGTTACACTCTTTACACACAATAGGCTGGAACCCCTTCTGATTACAGGTAGGGTCAAAGCAAACGGAACAATGAGCAGGGCATCGGTGACTCAGCACACCGTTGTACCCTGTGTAACAGTACTCACACAGATATGGGGAACCCAGAAAGGCCTTTAGATTTTTTATACCATAGTAGTGGTTCTGAAAGAGAAACAAAAATAGGGTTTTACTCTGTCTTGGGCTTTTGGTCATGAATTTACAGAGGGCCCTATCGTCGTCTCCTCTATAAAACACTACAATTTTGCAGTCCAAAGCACGTTCAAATCGCGTGATGTCGCTTAAGGCTACAGGTGTCTGTTCATCCATTCCCACTTTGTTTTGAATCTCTCTGCCGCATTCAAGAGCCTGTCTATCGTTGAGGAGGGGATGTAGAAGATGAGCCAGACAGACGGCGAAACACAAGTGATTCCCCTCGTTTTCTACAATGTACAGAAAGCGTTGTTTTTTTTTTAAGATTTCGCTTGTAACATTTTATCCACCATTGCTCTTTTACCCGCGCCTGTAGGGCAGGTGATCACTTGGAGAACCAGTTCTAGATCACCATCTGTCATAATGGTCCAATTGGATTGTACTATGCGAAGCAAAAGTCTTTCAAAACCCGCTAAATTGTCAACATCACCATCCTGTAAGATAACTGATACATTATTACGGAGATTTTCACCTCTTAGCTCCAACTGCACCACATCTTGGGGTCTCCTGTGTGACAAGGCTTGTTGTAAAATCGCATCTACCTGCTCCAGTGTACCATTGTAAAACTGAGCATAATCCACAACACCCTCTGAATTGGTTGGAGAAGGAAAGCGCAACACCTGACGTATTTCATAATTACAGAATCTATGTCGTGATATGACTCTTGCTTGAGGTGCCACAGGGTCATTATTTTGAGACACGCTGCCCCCTTGCTGTTGCAAGGGAGGAGTGTTGGCTACCTGCTCCATGAGGGGGAGTTAATGGGGGTCTGATAGGTCGAGGATGTAGAGGGGTTTAAGGCAGGGATTGCATTATTTTCAAGCTCGGAGAGAGCATTTTGTATTTGAATCAACAGGTCTGGAGACACAGATGAGTTTAAGACAGGAATATGCTCGGGTTCGGGTAAAGAGGGGATGTTGTTTTGGTGAAAGGGTTCATTCATTTGGTTGATTTCATCTAATAAAGCAGTTGGTATTTCATTTTCTAAGCGTTCCAGATCAACGAGAGCTTGATTTATAGCGTGTAACGGATCTAAGAACTGACTGGAGGAGGTCTCGTTTTCAATTACACTATTTTCAGTTATACCATTTTGAAAGTTTGACTCATTCTGATAATGTCGATCTACCTCGTCTGATAAACTCTGCCTAAGCCCTAACGGTTTGTTTTCATCCATTATCATAAAATCAAAACACACTTAAACCTTAAAACAGACACTATAAAAAACAGGATAAACACGTTTATCTAACTATTGCAAGTGAAAATCAACAATAAAAACAATTACCAAATGAAACAAACAAAAAAAAATCATTTAAAACAAATTCAGATAAATCACCTTACTAATTATGATCACTGTAGACAGCCAGCATTTCACCCATTAGTCGGAAAGCATTACTCATTAGAACTAGTTGTTCATGGGCAGTCCGACAGCAATTCTGACAGCCTCTCACGGATCGTCGGGGTCTGTTTGCTGGAGGGACACAAAAACAAAGACACTTTAACCTCTTTTGTGTATTTTAATACAGAAAGTCAGGCATCACCCCTACAAATCACTACATTAATACTTTATAGCAAACAAGCAAACTAGTTTTTTAACTAAATACCCTGAATGTCAGACATCAGTACCAAAACACTGTAGAAGTGCAAAACAAACGAACAAACACCACAGTAATAGCCTACTTTATGAAAAAGAAGCAAAATAGCTTTTAGAGTCAGGTTAACTCATAAGACTACTTTCTGCATAGAACATTTGACATGCTGTTGTATTTGAGAAAATAGTGTGGAATACTTTTAACTCATTAATTGTATAGCCTAATAATCAGCAACATGGTATCACGGGAAACTGTGTATATAGGCTATACTTTTTTTATGACTGCATATTTGCTAGGTTAATGGTTTTAGAGCGTTATAACAATTTACTTACTGCTGCTCCTACTACTGCTCCTGCTGCTGCTGCTGGTTGAAATGAGCCTTCTACGGTGTTCCCTTTTCCGAGGTCCGTTGTTCGGTATAGGCTCAGTCTGATTCAGCGGCGTACACGGTTCTGCTGGGTCCGGATGAATGATTTCCTCCGCTATCAGTCCCCGCGCTTCTACCGGTGATCCGTTACGTGACCTCCCATCTGCGGCCTGACTGGAGCGCTCTACATCATCGACGGGTGATTCCGGGGACAAATCCGGCTCAACGTGTTCCGGGGAGCCCGGTGTTATGTACTTGCGGTACCGAAGCCGAGGGCTGATCCGATTCCGGAACCGGACCGTTCTCCTCGTAATGGTAGGGGAGAGACCCTGCATAAAGTACCGTTCACAATCGCTCGCACCATCTGTGGTGTAATGAAAGAAAAGTACTGTTACCACATCTTAAAAGTTTGTAAATAAATAAATAAAACCTACACACTGATTAAAAGTTAAGGTAACCTTACTTACCGACTTCTCCTGTGAGATCTACAACCTGCGCTGATGGAATGCCATTCTCCCTTGTAGAACCTATTTCCTCGCCTGAGTACAAATCTGTAAAAACAATATACAAAATACACATCAGGATAGTACACTTTAAATTTAGAACATTTCTATTTCACTCTAGTACATAGAAGGCCCTCTTACCTTCAAGTTGATATTCGGTTGAATGAAGCCCATTGTCGATCAAGTCAAAAACTGTTAATTGAAAACACGCAGGAATGAAAATACAAAGTGTCGATTTTTGCTATTTCTTAGTTGGAGGAAAGGCTGAATGCGTACCGTGTTCTCTTTGAAGGGTCATCGCTCTGGTTTCAAGTCACTAGTGTGAAGACCTCTGGATTTCTGGTAGGGTACTTATAGAAGTAAGAAAACAAAAAAAACACACGAGTGCTGCTCTGCATGTGGGAGATAACTGATGAGGGGTTGGGGCCGTTACTTCTGGTACAACCAGATTATTATTTAGTTCCAAACTCTTGTCTCCGGCTGATAAAAATAGCTTCCTGTTTCAAAAACGAACTCACGAACTCTGTCTGATAAAACCAGACCGTTTTTTAACATCCGGAGTCTGGGTTATAGATAACCAAAGTTAATAACTGGTCTACAAGATTACCTGAGGATGGCAGCTAAACACACAACACGCCTCATTGAGAAAACAGAGGGAGGTGTTCCAGACTCCCCAACACGACTCGTTGAGAAAACAGAGGGAGGTGTTCCAGGACTCCCCAACACGACTCGTTGAGAAAACAGAGGGAGGTGCGGGGGTGGAGCACATTCCTCAATTCACCCCACCCTATGCTACACCAGAATGAGAGAGGACAGAGAAGAGGAGACACAGACTCTAGAAGGATTAAAGTTTTAAGACTCACAAGTTTAAGACTAGGCTACAGCTTTGGAGTGATAATGATGGCAAGTTTGTAAGACAAAGCAATAGCAAAGTAATTTGGAACACTCTCTTATTTTGCTGCATGCTGTTGAAGGTAATTTGTAATGCTGTTTAATTTTTACTCACCGTTATACCATTTTACTGCTTTACTGTCATTATTTCAATTTATTCTTCACTTGTTTACTGATGGTAAGTTTGTCACACAAAGCTTTAGCAAAGATTTTGAAGGTAATTAAAAAATGCTGTTTAATTTTAACTCACTGTTATACTATTTTACTGTAATTATTTCATCTTATTCTTTAGTTCTTAAATGATGGTAAGTTTGTCACACAAAGCTTTAGCAAAGATTTTACAAAGTTTAATTTTGGAACTCACTCTTATTTTGCTGCATGCTGTTGAAGGTAATTTTTACTCACCGTTATACCATTTTACTGCTTTGCTGTCATTATTTCAATTTATTCTTCACTTGTTTAATAATAAAGACTGACTTGATTCCAAAGAAACCTCCTACTGATCCTTTGCTGGCCCCGGAGATTCCTCCTTTTACTTATAACTCACTGCTATACTTTTTTAATGATAAATTTATTGTCACAAACACCTCCTAGTTAATTCATTCAAGTTGTATTACTTAATAAAGTCTTTAAATCAATGAAAAACACACAATGGAAGGATGTACGCAACCCTCTTATCAGTTACATACAGACATATTTCCGGTTGGGGCGGGACAGGATGCACCCCCTCTTACAGTTACATACAGACATATTTCCGGCTGGGGTGGGACAGGATGAACCCCCTCTTATCAGTTACATACAGCCATATTTCCGGTTGGGGCGGGACCGGATGCCCCCCTCTTATCAGTTACATACAGACATCCGGTGGGGTGGGGGGACCGGAAATAGCTGTCAAAAATGAGTTTGATGGAATGTATTGGATACTTCTCTCTCTCCGTGGGTCGGTCTTTCCAATAACCGTCACCAAATAATGTATCGATAGTGGTATCGTTAAAAACGGCCGTCCTTGTGATGCATCACTCCATGAAACCTCATCCCACCATCACCGCCTGCTCTCACACAGGTACAGCTGATCAGGACTCACCTCTGCAGGACCTTGACTCTGGTTCTGATACAGGTTGTGTTCAGTAAGCAGGTCTCTCGGTGTTGCAGCTGAAGGAGGTGATGTGTCACATGATGATGGGGAGCCTGGGATGTTCAGAAAGGACTTTGTGGCTCAACATCCGCGTCTTCTTCATGTGTCCACCTGTCCTGTGTCTTCTTTTTTTTTTCCACAGTTTAGTCTCTAGACTGGGAGAGCTTCGAGCAGTAAAACAACCGGCAGCTGTTCTGGCTCACAGCGTCCCCCTGGAGACCATCATCCCATCCGCAGCACCTTAAATAAGGTGAGTGGTGTCCAGGAAAGGGTCCTTGACTTCAGTCTGATCAGTCCTCGACTCTTGTCTTTGTGTTCCTAGAACACCCGGAGGCCATGTCCTGTCTGCTGCTGCTGCTCTGCGAGAGGTATGACAGGAACACACCTGGACATCGTCTTAGAGACTCCTGGGTCCCGTTAACGTCTGTTTCCCAGGCTAGTGAGAAGATGGTGACGAGAGTGCTGAGTTGTCCCTGTCACCAGTTCACCACCACCTGAGACCCAATCACGACAACACGCTGGAAAATCAAGGCCCAGCTGATCAAGAACAACCAGCGCCGCAAGAGAGGTGAGGACGGACAGACTGAGACAGAGGTGAGAACAGACCGAGATGGACGATGAGGACAGATTGATGAGGACAGAGGTGAAGACAAATGAATGAGGACAGATAGCACAGAGGTGAAGACTCTGTCTGGGTACCTGATGAACAGCGGTTGTGTGTCCTCCTCAGTTCTCAGTTACAGCAGTAACCCTGGAACAGATCCTGGAGCTCATGGACAACCTAGGCTGAGCCTGAGCAACACCAAGAACAGCTGTCAGTAACCACAGGCTTATTGATCGCTTCAGGAGATATGACACTCAGACCCCAATCCTTCAGGCTCTGCAGCACGTTCAGCAGCTGTGACGAGGTCCACAAGATGAGATGCGCGCACACAATGACGGTGATATCACTGTGGCGGCTGATGTCACTTCCTCCTCCTGCAGGAGTACAAAGACTCCTAGACCTAACCTCCCAAGTCCTGCCGTAAGGCTCCGGCCTCCAGCCTCGCTCCCGGGAAGGAGCGGCTCCGCCCAACAACAGGAGGAGAGTGCCTCCAGCAGGGCCTCTGTACGTAGCCCCACCTCCAGGCCTAAAGTCTTACATTGAAAAGTTTGTGTTCTAGGTCTTAAATAATTTTAACGGGTATTTATTTCCCAGCGCCTGTAATGCTACCTCTAATGCTCATTGAAATGGCCCCGCAGTGCTCGGAATGGTTTTTCCTCCGTGGTGGTGGTAGTTCTTTCTATCGCTGGTCCAAATATAATTTGCTGTATTACGACTACAAAGACCAACAGGCAGCTTTCGTGTTATTGCTGCAAATCTTTCGGATTGTACCACAGATATAAAACGGATTTATCTTCAGCTATGGGGAAGTGCAACCTGA